GCTGATGATGATGATGAGGAGGAGGAGGAGAAGGAGGAGGAGGAGGAGGAGGAAGAGGAGGAGTATGTGGTGGAGTCGGAATCGCAGTCGGAGTCGGAGTCGGAGCAGGAGGAGGAGGAGTCCGTGTTGGAATGGAGGAGGAACGGGAGGAGGAGGAGGAGGAGGAGGAGAGGAGGAGGAGGAGGAGGAGGAGGAGGAGTCGACGGAGGAGTCGGAGAAGGAGTTGGGGAGAGAAGGAGTTGGAGTCGGAGTCGGAGTTCGAGTCGGAATCGGAGTCGGAATCGGAGTCGGAGTCGGAGTCGGGAGGAGGCGGAGGAGGAGGAGGAGGAGGAGGGGAGGAGGAGGAGGATGAGGAGGAGGGGGAGGAGGAGGAGGAGGAGGGGGAGTCGGAGTCGGAGTCGGAGTCGGAGGAGGAGTCGGAGTCGAAGTCGGAGGAGGAGGAGGAGGAGGAGGAGGAGGAGGAGGTGAAGTAGGAGGGGGAGGATGAGGCGGAGGATGAGGAGGATGTGGAGGAGGAGGAGGAGGAGGAGGAGGAGGAGGAAGGGGAAGAGGCGGAGGAGGATGATGAAGTGGAGAAGGAGGAGGCGATGGATGATGATGATGCTGATGATGATGATGCTGATGATGATGATGCTGATGACGATGATGATGATGCTGATGATGATGATGCTGATGATGATGCTGATGATGAGGAGGAGGAGGAGGATGTGAGGGAGGATGTGAGGGAGGATAGAGGATGAGGAGGCGGATGAGGAGGCGGATGAGGAGGCGGATGAGGATGCGGATGATGATGATGATGATGATGATGATGATGATGATGATGATGATGATGACGATGATGATGAGGACGATGATGATGCTGCTGCTCATGCTGATGCTGCTGATGATGATGATGATGGTGATGATGATGATGCTGCTGCTGCTGATGATGATGATGATGATGATGATGCTGATGGTGCTGATGATGATGCTGCTGATTATGATGCCGGTGATGCTGATGATGGTGAGGGTTGCCCCTGCTGATGGTGCTGCTGCTGATGAGGATGATGATGCTGGTGTTGATGATGATGCTGACGATGCTGATGATGATATGGTTGATTATGAGTATGCTGACGATGATGATGCTGATGATGAGGATGATGATGCGGATGTTGCTGATGCTGCTGATGCTTATGATGAGGATGATGATGGTGATGGTGCTTACGACGATGGAGCTGATGATGGTGCTGATGATGACGACGACGATGCTGTTGATGACGATGATGCTGATGCGGATGATGCTCATGATGCTGATGCTGATGATGATGACGCTTCTGCTGATGATGCTGATGCTGATGATGCTGATGATGATGATGATTATGATGATGATGATGATGATGATGATGATGATGATGATGATGATGATGATGATGATGATGATGATGATGATGATGATGATGATGATGATGATGATGATGATGATGATGATGGTGATGCTGATGCTGATGCTGATGATGATGCTGCTGATGATGATGCTGAGGATACTGCTGATGATGATGCTCACGATGATGCTGCTGCTGATGATGATGATGATGAGGAGGAGGAGGAGAAGGAGGAGAAGGAGGAGGAAGAGGAGGATTATGTGGTGGAGTCGGAATCGCAGTCGGAGTCGGAGTCGGAGTCGGAGCAGGAGGAGGAGGAGGAGGAGTCCGTGTTGGAATGGAGGAGGAAAGGGAGGAGGAGGAGGAGGAGGAGAGGAGGAGGAGGAGGAGGAGAGGAGGAGGAGGAGGAGGAGTCGACGGAGGAAGATGAGGAGTCGACGGAGGAGTCGGAGAAGGAGTTGGGAGCGAAGGAGTTGGAGTCGGAGTCGGAGTTGGAGTCGGAATCGGAGTCGGAATCGGAGTCGGAGTCGGAGTCGGAGTCGGAGGAGGCGGAGGAGGAGGAGGAGGAGGGGGAGGAGGAGGAGGATGAGGATGAGGAGGGGGAGGAGGAGGAGGAGGAGGAGGGGGAGGAGTAGGATGAGTCGGAGTCGGAGTCGGAGTCGGAGTTGGAGTCGGAGCTGGAGTCGAAGGAGGAGGAGGAGGAGGAGGAGGAGAAGGACCAGTGTAAACCCAAGCGCCATCAACGATGTTGGAATACACCCTCCCTCCAAGCTCCCTCTTCAGAGGCCCCTACAACGATTTATTTCCATTGAGGAGTCTGCCTCGTTGGAAGACGCGGTTTCAAGACCCGGAAGCATGCCAACACATAGTTCTCGGGATTCTAGCGCCACGGATCAACCTGATTGTTGCGTCATGACGATCCTGGATCGTGCCAGAACACCATTATTGGGATGTCAACACCGCGAACCAACGTAACTGTTGCACCCGCATAATCCGGAAGCCTTCCAAAACGCAACTTTTGGTACGTTGATCGTGTGAACCAGTGAAACTCTCGCAAAATTGATGAACGAATGTGCGTGGAGCCAAGGCGAGCGTCACATGTTGAACAGGAACGGCCCTCAATCCGTGAAACTCCTTGCATATTTGTAGAACGAATGTGCGCGGCGCTAAGGCAAGGGCGCACACCCCTCACGAGGATCGTGGCACCATAGGAGCTTCACCGAAGGCGCCAGTGGCAGGGTTTGCATGGCGGCCTCGGGCCATTTCGGCACACCCCTCACTAGGATCGTGGCCCCATAGGGGCTCCACCGAAGGCGCCAGTGGCAAGGTTCGCATGGCGGCCTCGGGCCATTTCGGCACCCCCCTCACGAGGATCGTGGCACCATAGGAGCTTCACAGAAGGCGCCTGTGGCAGGGTTCGCATGGCGGCCTCGGGCCATTTCGGCACCCCCCTCATGAGGATCGTGGCTCCATAGAGAACTCCACCGAAGGCGCCAGTGGCAAGGTTCGCATGGCGGCCCCGCCCCATTTCGGCGCACCCCTCACGAGGATCGTGGCCCTATAGGGAGCTCCACCGAGGGTGCCAGTGGCAGGGTTCGCGTGCCGGCCCAGCCCCATTTCGGCACACCCCTCACGAGGATCGTGGCCCCATATGGAGCTTCACCGAAGGCGCCAGTGGTAGGGTTCGTATGGCGGGCCCCGTTCCATTTCGGCACACCCCTCAAACGGTTCGTGGCCTCACAGGGAGCTCCGCTCCACTGACGGCGCCAGTGGCAGGGTTCGCATGGCGGGCCCCGTTCCATTTCGGCACACCCCTCACACGGGTCGTGGCCTCATAGAGAGCTCTACCGAGGGCCTCATAGAACGATATACCCATAATGCCTTATCCACAACTGCTTACGGTTGGGTCCTTCGTCAGGCTAATGTAAAAGGGAGGTGCGCGGCGATTTGGTGAGAGCCACATGTTGAACACATGTTATCCTCACTCCGTGAAGCTCTTGTAAGAACGAATGCGCGCGGCGCTAAGGCGAGAGCCACATTTTGAAAACTACCCGCCCTCCATCTGTCACATTGTTGCCAAGTTTTACGCTTCAGAGTCATACATGGTGAGGAAGTCTCAGGCGAAACGCCCAGCCTCGGGTGCGACAGGGAGAAGTTCTTTATCAGGAAAAGGAATGGAGGAGGAGGAGGAGGAGGAGGAGGAGGAGAAGGAGGAGGAGAAGGAGTAGGAGGAGGATGGAGGATGATGATGATGAGGATGAGGAGGATGATGGAAAGGATGATGATAATGATGAGGAGGAGGAGGAAGAGGAGGAGGAGGATCAGGAGGAGGAGGAGGCGAATGAGGATGAGGAGGGGGAGGAGGAGGAGGAGGATGGAGGAGGATGGAGAAGGAAAACAATTTCGTTTTGACGTTTTGATTTCTCTGTTTGAGCCTGCGGAGGCGTCCGGGGACCTGGGCTAAGTTTTTCTTCCCTCTTGCCCTCCCTGCTTGTTTCCTCTTCGGGCCGAAGATGCGGGCTCTGACCATGCAGGTTGCATGAGTGGCTCCACCAGTTGGTTTTCAGGACTCAGACGGAGTAGGAGGCACGAGGGACGTCGTTCTGGAGCTTAGATTGGATGCAACGCCACTCGAGCCTGAGGAAGCGAGCGAGGGGGTGAGCGGCACTGCGAACGCAGAGTGCAGCTCGAATCTCGGATCGCCCTGCCGCCCGAGCTTCACCGTTGGGACGACAAAGTCGAGGTTCCCGCTTCGGAGTGGAGCTCCTGCCGCTGGGAGTGACGGAGGGCGCCTGCAGCCGTGGCTTTTTCAGGGGCATGAAATCGCGCAGGCAGCCTCGCAGGAGGAGGAGGAGGAGGAGGAGGAGGAGGAGGAGGAGGAGGAGGAGGAGGAGGAGGAGGACGAGGAGTATGGGCCTGACTAGGAGCCGCCGATGTTGTTTTGACACGGGGCCTGTCGCCCGCGTGCAGAGCACTTTTTTGTTGCGCCCTGCAAGCATGGAGCGCGTCCTGTAAGGATGGAGCGCCCGTCCAGGGCTGGCCACGCAGAGGAGCAGGCTTCGGAGAGGCCTGCCTCCTAGCTCAGCGAGTCCAAGCCTTGTCGGTGGAAGTTGAAAGTCTCTTCTGAATCGGGCGCAGAGGTCGAGAGCGGCAGCCACGGGCTCGGTAAGTCCGACACTCTGGGCATGCACGGGGCTGTGGCTCTGCATGGCCTCCAGGATCCGAGAGAAGTGGTGGCTTGGAGCCGCCAGGAAGCCGGCAGGGAGGCCAACCTTGGCAGACCCGCGGGGTTTGGGGGCTCCCCCTCGCCTTGATTCCGAGTCTGCGATCTTTCGCTGGACGCGAGTGAGCTCTGCTGCGTTTTCGGCTTCAGCCTAGCTCAGCCGCTCAGCCTCGCATCGCTCTCCCGTGCCACACATCCTCGGCCGCACACTCGGAGCTACGCTCGGGGGCCCTGGGCTCGCTTCGCCGAGTCGCGTCGTCGTTGCGATGTGCGGGGCAAGCCACGGGCCCAGGTCTTGCTTCTGAGCGCAGTCGGGTCGGGATGTTTACGGCGAGCATCTCCGTCTGCGGTGCGTGCGAGCGAGGAGCCGAGGGGAAGTTACGGGTCGTGCCCTGCACCTCTTCCGTGCCGGGAAGGACAGTGCGGGCTCCAGTGGCAGTGTTCGTCCGAGCTCGTCGATTGAGCGCCGCCCTCAGCTCCAGCGCCGCCGCCCTCAACGCCGCCGCGCCACGTGCCCGCACAGTCTGGAGCCCGACGAGGATGAGGGTGGGAAGGGTGGGGAGGGTGGCGAGGAGGGCAATGACGATGGAACTGGAGCAGGGGCGGAGCGGACGAGGACGGGCAGAGGAGGAGGAGGAGGAGGAGGAGGAGGAGGAGGAGGAGGAGGAGGAGGAGGAGGATGAAGGATTCAGGGAGGGGAAGTCGGGAGGGAGGAGGAGCGAGCGTCGCCGCCTGCGACCTCACCACGCGAAAATCAGGAGGAGGCTAGGCGGGTCCCGCCTGGTCTGCCTCTCAGGCCTTCACGCGGGCCAGCAAGGCCGTCATTCTTAACTTGTAAGCGGGGATCACGGTGTCCTGGGCCGCAGGTGCAGGTGCCTGCGGCGACGACACATAACTTGGCGCGCGCATGCACGAGTTACAGGGTCTAGTTCAATATTTGGAAAAGGAGTCGCACGCTCTATGGTGGAGCGGAGCCTGGGATTGGGTCCCAGCCCCTTTCGAAGAGTCAGAGTCATGTCAACTCCGACAGCCACGGGGATCTTTCTCCTAACGCGACAACGCTGCCCCGAGAATGCGCTCAAGACAAATGCATGCTGTTGCGCCCCAGCCTCATACTTGCTGTTGTGCCCCAGCCGCGTACATCTTGTGGCGGCCCAGCCTCACAAATCTGTCGTTTTTGGTGAAGCCGCGGGTAGGCCGCAAACGTTGGGGGCAGTGCACAAGCCAGAAATGACAAAAACCGATCGCAATTAAGCTCAACATCGCTCACTTTTGGGGAGGCCCCCCCCCCGCCCCCATAATATCCGAATTGCAGGAATCCCCGCAGGGGGGAGGCCCCTGGGTCATCCACTCCTCCAGCCAAATGTTGTTACGGTCAATTGATGGAGCTTGGCTTGGGGCGTTTCGCTTGGGACGTTGTCAGAATTTGCCCGTTTTAGCCTGGTTTGGACCTGTTCGGTTTGGTCTGGCCGGGCGCCCTGCCCGACAGCATCCTCAAATTTTGCCTCGCTTGACCTCTGGTTTGGCTTGATTTTGGTACGGTTTCGCTAGAGACGTCCTCACGACTCGCTTGGTTCGGTTTGGTGTCGGCGCAGTTTCGCTTGAGACGTTCTCGCAATTTGTCTTGCTTGGCTTGGTTTCGGCGCTGTTTCGCTTGAAACGTCCTCGCAATTTGCTTGGTGGTGTGGTTTGGTTCCAGTGCGTTTTCGCCAAAGGGATACTCGCGATTCCCTAGTTTGGCCTCATTTGGGAGCGGCTTCGGTTTAGACGTCCTCACGATTTGCATGGTTTAGCCGTGGTTCCATGTCAAACGTCCACACAACTTGTTCGATGTGCTATGCATTTGGGTGTGATTCGCCTACAGCGTCCTGGCTTGACATGGTTCGGGTGGTGTGCACACACTGTCGCAAGCTGTGTTGGCCACGGTCTGTGGTGCAACGTCTGTGGTGTAAGCTGTGTGTGGTAAGCTAAGTGTGGTGCAAGGTCACACCGTCGCAAGCTATGCAGTTCAAGCTATGTAGTGCAAAAGATGTGGTGGACGCTATGTGGTGTAAGGTATGCGGTGCAGACCCACACACTCGCAAGCTGTACGAAGAAACCTATGTGGTGCAAATAATTCTGTTCGCAGTGAGTTGTCCACTCCACTGCTCGCGCAATTATCCTCCCCACCCACCCGCAACTTGGTTTGCAGAACCCACGCGGCGGCGATTGCGATGAGTGCTTGGAGTTGGCTGGTGCATCTCTGCGGCCGCGCTGGCCCGCGCATGCTCGCGCGCGCAGCGGCCAGATGGTTTGGCGCGACCGACGCGGCCGCCGTGGCGCTGACTGTTGGGCACTTCCCAGCGGGCACTTCAGTGCGAGTCGGGGACTTGGCGGTTGCGGTAGCATGGCAACGTCGACAACGGTAGACGCGATGCTGATAATAGCGATGTTGGTGACGATGATGACAACGACGAAGGCATGGCCAGTGACGGCGCCGATGTTGATCACGCAGATGACGATGACGGCGCCCTCGCGTCGGTGATGAAGGTTTTGGAGTTCGACATGCGCGCGCGGCCGACGCGCGAGAGTGGCCCGCATGGTGTTACTTGACACGAATCGTGCCTCCCATCCAGCATGCGCGCGATGGCGTCCGAACGTATCCCACGTGCGGCGCGAGAGGCCCGTTTGGCCGAATTTATTGAACATGTTGTAAATTCATGGTTTCCTGAAGAATCCACAGGGGCGCCAGCGCAGGCATGCGTGAAAATTGACGTCGCAAAACCATTCGTTTCTTTCCATGTTCCTGGGACACTCGGTTTGGAAATCTTTGCGGCACCTCCGGTTTTCGAAAGATTTCGGCACGCGCGCGCGACGACGCGCGCGCGTGCACTTCGTCCTTGTTTTTCCTTGCGACAGCACGCGCGCACTGGCGTTCGAGCGATTCCGACATGCGCTCGCGGGCCCGTTTGGTAGTAAGTTTTGGATATGTTGAAAAACCGATGGTTCTCTTAAGAAATCGCAGCAACCCAAACGCAAAATTGATTTGAATCCTCTCGTTGCGAAGCAATTATTCTATACCAAAATGGTTTCGGGACGCTCGTTTAGATTTCTTGACGAAACATACAGTTTTTGACGGATGTCGGCATGCGCGCGCGACGACGCGCCCGTGCGCACTTCGTTCCATATGGTCCAAGGGTCGGTGAAAACTAATGTTTTTTTTGATGAGCGAGTGCCCGCGCATAGTATTGTTTGGCGGGATATGAGGCGGGTACTGATACCGGCCTGCATGGGATGGTTCGAATTCGTATCTAGGGTGACGATAAGGCGCCATTTGCAATACGACCAAGTGAACTCTTAATTCAGGGGGGGGGATCCGAACATTCTGTTAGAAAGGAGAATGTACATGGCGGGAGCTGTGTGGTGCAAGTGGTGCAAGCACACTTCTCGCGGCGTTGGCCTGGCTTCCAGCGTTCGGAGAATTTTGTCCAGAGCCTGAATTGGGGGGCAGGCACACTCTGCCAAGTTTGGCCATTCGGCCCTGGGACCACCTTCCACACCAGATGCGCAGGAATTGTTGACATGAAGTCGTACGGACACCCAGAATATTAATACGGTCGAGCAGGGAACCGGTGACCGCAACATTTTTACGACTTTTGGAATCCTGCGTAAGTCTTGTCAGGAGCGGAAGGGTGCCCTTACAGCCGTCCATCGGCGGCGACTGCCCAGGGTGAGCCACAACCAAACACTTCTCACATTGGATCCCCGAAAATGACTTGGCTCAATTTTGAAAGCTTGCAGTTCGCTTATCCTGAGCTCGCTTGTGGGATGAGGGCCTGGTCCACTTTCTCATTCTGAAGCAATGGCGAAGCATTGCAGCCGCGAGCTCGATAACATGCCCACGTTGAGTCTGGACCAACTCAACTTTTTCAAGAAATCTTGGTTGGGGCTTTTTGTGCATGCTAAGGGCAATAGTAGCATGCTTGTTTGCCGTTCGGTTGGCTACAGCAAGTCTGCGCCCATCTCCCGCTAGATCACTCCATCTGTCCTGTGCGCTTCGGCTGACCATGATTTTGGCCGTCCCTGAGAGCTCACGTGCGAAAATTCAGATTGCAGCATACTTCTTGTTGGATGCAATCTGCTGCTCGATGCGCCTCTGACCGTGCGCAACGATTGTCGTACAATCCGAGCCTGTACGGGTCTGCCCATCCGAAACTTCTTCAGCGAGCGCGCAGCCGAGATGCTCAGCAACGGCATGGGGCCTCAGAGGATGGTGTTTGGTTCCAAAAGCGCCATTGCCCAAGAGGCTCTCCGGGGATTCTCAGATTGTGTTTGGTGCATGAGCTATCACTGCAAGCTCCAGGATGTTCCGCGAGGAGGTGCCCAACCTGCCTTAGGGTCTGTGGGATCTCTTCGCAATTTCCCCCAACACAACACACAACACAATTCACTCGAAACCGTCGGGCGGGCGGAGGGCAGCCTCAGAAGGATCGAAGGCGAAACGACTCCGTAAACGAACTCCTCGCACATCAGCCTTTGCACGGGCTGGCTCCTATACGTGTAAAGAGACCTCATCGCTGGCTCTTGCTGTCTGTGAACACTCGTCTGGCACATCAACCTCTGCACGGGCTGCCCCTACTTCGGGAAGGCAACAGGTACACATGCGATAGTGCACAGTGTATACCTGCCCGCAAGCGCAGCGCCCAGTGGATACATACACTGCCGAACGAGCCCGCTCTTCAGTCCACAAACCGTTGCAAACACAACGCCTTCCCAGGATACGCTGGTAACACGTCTTTTGTTGCTGGATTTGGGGCATCGGGCAATTGAATCAAACCTGGTGCAGTACCTATCCTGGATGCCTACTGGATGCGTCATTGCGTTCGCGTGTTGACGCTGTAGGCCGCCCTCCACGAAATCAAACAACACGGCTGGCGTGAGCTAATCTACATGAGTTTCCATGCCGTTTTGATCCTTCCAACGCAAAAGTTCGACATTATCCCAGCCGTGCCCGGTGGTAGGTTCACTGGCGCGAGTTTCGCTCCACATTCTACATGCAGTTTCCTGCTAACACAGATGCCTGCTTGGGTGCGACTTCGGAATTCATCACATTCGGCACCACTGCAGTGCAGGTGCTAAGGCTGACCTCGCACTCTCGTTAGGAAACAACCCAGTCTTGGCTCGCAAGCTAGTTCCTCGGTGCTGCGCATAGTTAAGTCGCGATTGAAGCCTAACTGCAAGAACTCAGTGTCATTTTATCCCTGGACCTCGGTGCCCACCGCCGCACCAGTGGCAACTCCAGTGCGCACAACTCCCACAACATTCCAGACCTCTGATCACATCCAGCTACGAATCGGGTACGTCTCTTGTGCTTTCGGAGTTTCATGCGCGTCTTACGAAAAGGGTTGCGCTGTTTACTACGCGTGCCCTTCACCTCACGAGGCGCTGAACAGGCCTGGTCAACTTCTAAGTCGGCGACCCTCG